AAAAAAAAAAAAAAATAAAAATAAAAAGGAAAAAGGAAAAAGGAAAAATGAAACAAAAAATTAATTATGATTATAATTATAATTACCTGTTAGGCGCAAACACCGTCACAGCTTCTGTCCAGTAAGGTCGCCAGATCCATCAGCAAGGGCATGGACGAGGCGGGCTTGATCCCTCCAGTAGATCTGTGATTATCCACTCATTGAACGGTATGTACGGAGTATGTATGTAGTATGCACCGGGGGAATCATTTATTCCACTTGGAATTCCGGTCAACCAACGGCGATTAACCTAAAATAAGTAATACAGAGAGAGAATCCATTCATCATTAGGTACTCTTCGATTTACTTCCATGTCCTTCAATCAAAAAGAGATACGACAAAAAGAACAAGCTTGCCACCTCATCACAAAAGCTGACTGGCCCATCACAGTACCTAAGTTATGTTTACTACCTACCTAACATATGACTAGGAGGTACTCGGTATCCTAGCATACAGCAACGCATGTACGATTGATGTGGTTGGTGGCCGTATCGTCGTTCATTATTTAAGGAGGCGAAGTCAGGTATAAGTTTTGGGAAACATAACACGACAGCGAAGAGAGACAGGAGAGCTGATGCCGTGTCGAGAGTTCCACAATCTCCAAGCATTAGTGGATTCCTTTGATATGTGTGTATATATATATAAATATATATTAGATGATGGATTCTTAGCATTCTCCTGGAAACCGAGTTCTCTTTCCAACAACCGGCAGAATCCAGCGAAACCCGTCTAGGTAACAGTTACTCTTGTCGGGTTACAAGCTGGAGCGAGAGTATCCTCCTCCCCTGCTTCTTGCGGATCTTCTTACGTCCACCTCATCCCTTGATAATCCGTCACGCTTCTTTCTCCTTCCTCGAGAATTCACTGAAACACATATATCACCGTGATCCCATAACTGGACTGACTACTTGGTCACCGTTTTTTGAGATTCCCGGGTACAAAGTACTAAGTAAGTTGTGAAAGACACCCTCTCTCCCTTTGTCAATCAGGAGAGAGAGAGAGAGGGCGGCGTTTTAGGCCCTCATGGATTTCTTGCGCCCGGCGAGCAATATGACTAAATGGGGACTAGTTCCTGGGCACGCGTTTCCGTCACCCGTCGATCAGTTGGCCGCCGAAGCCTTCCGCCAATTTGGAAAATAAATCATCACCAGTGAAATCATAATAAACACCTCCCACCTTCTTCTACGTCTTGTATTTCCGACATTTTGATCTTACAACCTCCATCCTACCATCTATCGCATAAACCCAAAAGGCCATAGATGCTTGGCTCGCTTGAATATATGTTTTGAAACAGGGAGATGCCGTGGACTGTAACAAATTCATTCAAGCGGTACGTGATTCGTTGCCTGATTTTCCCACCCCTTGGATTCCGCCACTTGAGCTAAACAGTGAACATCTAGAGGCCTTATGATGAAAACGTACGGTAGACCCGTATGGCGCGTCTATGATGACGACCAGAGTCCAGCGGCTAAGAAAAGACGCGTTCAATCGGGGAATGAATCGGACGAGGCAGAGAACAGCATCCAATACGCCATTCGCGAGTCGTCCGCCGCTGTCCTATCCAGTCCGTCGCGTCGCAATTCCATCCTTCTCTCTGAAGGAACGCAGGATGATGACCTGTCTACACCTCCGTCTTCACCGCCGCCTCGGCTGAGTTCACCTCCTGCCAACACGCGAAAACCCACCTTCGCGTTTCTCAAACGCAAACAATCGGCGAACAAGGAAGCTGGCAATAGCTCCCCGCTCACTGAGGTCAACTCCAATAGTGTACGCGCATCGGTAGACCCTCCCAAGAAGAAGGCAGTGTCGCAGCAACCCGCCTTAAAACAGATGCAACTTGACCTAGGGCACGAAGTGAGAAGAACCTGCGCGACCTGTGGAATGGAGTATGTGCCGTCGAACTCGGAGGATGCAGCTTTACATAAGAAGTTTCATGACATGAATTCAACAGGAGTGGATCTGGGTAAAGCATTCATGAGGGCAAATGCCTCGCGCTGGGTTTATGAGGCTACTCGCTTCGATGAGGGGTATGTGGTCATTGTCGATCGAAAAGCGTCCCCGACCGCGAAAAATCAGGCCAAGAAAGTTCTGGAGGTTATCAATAAGGAGTTGTCTTCCCCCGAGATTCAAGATGATGTCCTATGGAGCCAGACCGAACCCCCGACACACTTGCGCAAAAACGGCGTGCTGGAGAAAGTGGACCGTTATAAAGTTTTCCTGCATATGAAGGATAGTCGATGCGTCGGTGCCTGTTTAACGGAGCGGATTTGGGAATCACGACCGGTTGAGAAACCTTCTAGCCAGACCAATCGCACTGATTCTGCAGTCACGGTTCGCAACGAAACTCATCCGGCAATCGTGGGGATTTCACGCATATGGACATCTGGGTCATCGCGACGGAAAGGGATCGCGATGGATCTGTTGGACTGCGTGGTCAGCAATTTTATATACGGCATGGAAATTCCAAAGGAGCAGATGGCATTCAGCCAGCCTACCGAAAGTGGTAGAGCCTTGGCGCAGTCATTCTTTGGGGATGATGAGTGGCATGTATACGAGGAAAGCTGAACGAAGTTTGCATATCAGTAACATCTGTCCAGTGGAGGGACGATACATTACTTTTTTTTTGTGTGTGTGTGTGTATGTGTGTGTGTGTTTTTTT